GACGACGACGACGACGACGACGACGACGACTACTACTGTTGGTTTATTTCCAGTATGTTCGTGCACTTGGTGGCGAGGGGCGGCTCCGAGGACTCCAGCCTCTTCGTCGGGGGCCTCGAGACCATCGCCCAGCTGTCAGCCAGCGCGAGCGCGGTCGTCGTGGGCGCCGCCGCGCTCTGGCCCACGCTCCCGGGCGAGGAGAAAGTGCGCATCCACGAGAACGAGATCTACGCCGCAGGCGCCAGGAAACGCCTGCATAACCTTTGCCGCAAGCATCGCGAGACGCAATGCGAGGAGGACAAGGCAGCCTTCGAGGTCGAGAAGGCCAAGCTCATGGCAGAGCACCCCGACCAGAAGGCCCGAGTGGGACAAACCTACTCGAGCGTAGGGGTCAAGCACAGGATCACCCTCATCAGCGTCTCCGCAGTCGAGGGCTGGTTCGACCCGAGCAGAGGGCCCAAGTCCGCCAAGCAGCGCAGCGTGCTCCTCGACCCTGCGCAGGCATTGCCGATTGAGCGACGCGAACCTCGAGGAGGGCGCCTGGCGGCGCGACGTCGCCTATGAGCGGGGCGACGGCGAAACGGAGCGCTTCCGAGCAGGCGAGCCTCTAGGAGCATCGCTCAAGGGCCGGCGCGACGCTCTGCTCGAGTTCTCTCAGGAGGAACGCGCGAGGGGCTTCGAGGCCATCGACGCGCGGGGGCAGCCCAGGGCCTGGACGGACGAGCTCGTCGCTTCCTGGACCATCGACTTCACGCAGCAGCAGCGCGGCCAGAGCCTCGTGTTTGCAGACTGCCTCGAGCCAGTGGGCCGAGGCAGTGGCGCTCCGAGCGCAGCTCCAGAATGTGGTATACGCGCCACTGGCCCCCGACGCCGCGAGCTTCTTGCAGGGGCCAGACCCCCGCGAACGCAGCCCGCTCAAGGCCACGACCCGAGAGGTCAAGGCCGAGGTGTTTTGGGCAATTGGGCAGGACTGGATCCAGGGGGCCAAGGCCGAGTCACAGGAGCAGCCCAAATCCCCGACCCAATGGGGGCCCTACGAGTGCCTCTACTGCGCGTCCGAGGCCTACACCCGCTTCTGCGAGAAGAACAAGGACGCCGCGCCGCTCCAAGGGATGCGAGCGAACCGAGTGCTCGCGGTCCGGCCGACAGCGCAGGGCGAGTTCAAGGTCGTCACGGGCATGGGGCCGCGGAGCTACTCCACCGGGCCTGGCCTCGGCATCGAGCAGGGTCTGGCGAGCGAGCGCCTGGAGGGCGCGCTGAGGCGGCCCGAGGGCGCGCAGCCCGTGCCCGAGTGGAGCACCCTCGCCGGGATTTGCTTCCACCAAGGCGACTTGCCCAGGGATTGCGAGCAGGGCGCGGAACCCTGTCCTGGAGCTTCGAGATTTGGACCTCGAGCTCACCGACGAGCAGAAGAAAATGCTCAGAGCGCCAGGGGGACGGATCAGGGATATCTAGTTCCCGCGCGCCCTCGAGAATTGGATCAAGGCGTCGCGAACAAGTGCTCGCAAGAGCAGGTGGGCGCCCAAGTTCTCGGGCCAGTTCCAAGGCGGGCTGCGGCGCAGGTGGCAGCGCGCGAAGGCCGATGCTGGCGGCGAGGCCTCGTTCGAGCACCTCAGCCAAGGCGTGGCCAAGGCGAAGTTCATAGGCAGGGCGCCGAAGGCCAAGACGAGTTTTTCCCATAAGTTAAAGGTCAAGAAGCACGCGAAGAAGGACAAGTGGGGAAGGGCGCCAAGAAGCAAGCGAAGGTCAATCGGAAAACGAGGGCTTGCGAGGGCCCCCCCCCTGGCACGGCGAGGTGGCGCGCGTCGCCGAGGGGGGGGGGGCCCGCGAGGGCAGGCGCGGCAGAGTGCAGGACGTTTGGCGAGTGCTGGGCACCGAGGACGCGCGCCGCCCGCGCGCCCTCGAGGTGGAGACCGCGGCGATCTCCCAGATCGAGAGCAGCGAGGCTCGGGGGCTCACAGGCACTCGTTAGCTCCCGCCTGCTTCCGGCTGAGACGGTGGAAGTTGGCGGAGAGCTGACGGAAGCAGGCGGAAGCGACACGAAGCGGAAGCCGGCGGAGGCTCACGAGCGCCCGTGATCCCGAGCGCCACAGGTCACGATCGAGGAGGACTACAAGTTCCCCAAGCCGCACGAGCTCGATTGGCGCCAGACCGGACTGGCTCGCCGCACAGAGCTCGCCAAGGAGTACGCGATCATGACCTGCGAGCAGATCGTCACGTGCGACGCCCTCGAGCTGGGCACTGTGAACGCGCTGCTGGGCGAGATCGTGGAGCGCGCGGGCATCCCGAGACCATTCTGGCGGTCGAGCCGACGGCGGCCGTCGCCTGGGCTCGAGAGGGCCAAGGCGAGGACGAACCAGCCGCCCAGCAGCCGAGGAGCAGAAGCGCTGGGCCGAGAGAGTCGACAAGGCCGAGCCCGTCCTGATCTGCGTGCTTTCCGAGGCGCCCGCATATTGTTCCTACCTCAAGGTCGGTGGTTGCTGCAATTGCCCCTGCCCCAAGGTGCCTCCAGTTTGTCGATCCGTTTTGGAGCGAATCCTGGAGGCACCCTGCGCAGGGGGCACTTGTAGCAACGTCAGCCAAGGTCTCGAGGATCGGCGGGGGCGTCGCTGCGGAGTGCCGCGATGCCTTCAAGCGGGCGTCCGAGAACGCCAAGCAGGCCCAAGCGGCCACATGTGAACTCACACTTGCACTTCGCGATTGCTGAGGGGGGAGGTCGGGTTCACTTTTCTCGGGGGCTGCTGAGCGAAATGAACCCCGCCATCCCCCTCAGCAGTCGCGGGTAGGGTTCGCGCGTGGCCCCCCAAGGCCGCCGCGAGGATCCCCCGCTAGCTCGGCGCCGTTGGCCCCGGCGAGAACTGGGCAGCGAAATGTTCCAGGCCGGCGCCTGGCCCTGCGGCCGGTGGACGAGTCGCTGGATCGAGCGCGCAGCGCGCGAGATCCGAGGCGAGGGCCGCCGAGCGCCCGCGAGCATCAGCGCGACGCGCGCCCGAGGCAACGAGCGGATCAACGAGCTCTAGGAGGCCAGCGGCAACGTCTTGGCCAAGGCCAAGGCCATGGCCAACATCAAGTCCAAGCCCTTCGAGGACCCCACGGCGGTCGAGCCGCAGCGCGCCGCCTTCGAGGAGGCGAGCGCCGCCGCCCAGGCGCGCGCCGAGTGCCTCCAGCGCAAGGGCGGCTCCAAAGGGTGCTGAGCCTGCGTGGACGAGTGGTTTTGAGGCCATGCGCAACAGAGGTTCCTTGGCCAGGAGCGTCAAGGACCTCTCTTGCGCAGGCAAGTTGTAGCCGCGAGCCTCGAGATCTCTCGAGTCAGTCTTGCGCCAAGATCTACAAGGTCAGTTTGCACGAGCGCCCCGGATCATCATCGCCAGCGTCATCATCATCATCACCGCCATCGTCATCATCATCACCACCATCATAACATCACCTTCGCCCGGAAAATCGTTGGTTATCCCCGCTAGACCCCCGAACTTTATCATCCCCAGGAGATTATTATCGGGGGCGCAGGGTTACTTTGCCTCCCCAAGGACCTCGCCCCCGAGTTTTTGTCTTCCGTGCCGGCCAGCAGGCTCTTCGCCGCCGCCCCGCATTCATCGTGCCCCGCGCGCGCGCCCCCCCCGCGCTGGTCGCCCGTTGCGCCCCGCGCCTGCGCGCGTTCCGCCCCTGACTCGAGCAGGGGGTCGACTGCAGAATCGATGTGCCCCAAAGGTTAGTTTGGCTCCGCCGAATCAGCAGAACCGCAGCTCTATCGAGCATTCTATATGACAGAACAACTCATTCGCGGGCACATAAATTCTTTAGTCGATCCCCTCCGCGAATGATCCCGCGTCGTCGGCCTTCCGACGCTCCGTTTCGGCTTTGGGGAGTCGTTCTCCCAGGCTTGCCCGTGCAGGCATCCAACAGTCCGCAACCTCTCTCTCTCTCTCTTGCCCGCATTTCCCTTGCAGGTCCCACCTCTGGCGCACCCGCCGCATGTGGTGGTGCGCGCTCCAGCCGCTTCGCTGCGCACGCGCCGCCTCCACAGCGGTCAACGCGTCTCCTCCTCCTCGTATTCGCCGCTCTCTAAGCGGAGCGACTTCCACTCACAACGTTGGGCCGTTATTGCTCGCCGCGGCCTTGGTGTCGCATCGCCGGCTTGGCACAACGTGTGTGCGTGTGCCTGTGTGTGCGTACGGTCTCCCCTCTTCCCCTCAGGCGGCCGCCCTCGTCTGCTGTCCTTCTTCTTGCACGCCGGACAATTCGCTTTTCGGCTGCCGTCCCCATTCGCGTCACGCTGGTGCGGACTGCCTCTGCCTCGCCGCCGACGAAATGTGTGTGTGTATGTGTGTGTGTGGGTGTGTGTGTGTGTGTGCGCGTGTGCGTGCGTGCGTGCGTGCGTGCGTGCGTGCGCGTGCGCGTGCTCGTGCGTGCGTGCGTGCGTGCGCGTGCGCGTGTGTGTATATGTATGTGTGTGCGCGTGTGCGTGCGCGCGTGCGTGCGCGCGTGCGTGCATGCGTGCGTGCGTGCGTGCGTGCGTGCGTGCGTGCGTGCGTGCGTGTGTGTGTGTGTGTGTGTGTGTTTGTGTGTGTGTTTGTTTGTGTGTGTTTGTTTGTTTGTGTGTGTATGTGTGTCTGTGTGTGTGTTTGTGTGTGTGTTTGCGTACGGTTCGTTGGTCGTGGTTTTCCTTGCACCCCATGTTTTTGCCACCTCCGTTTTTGTTGCTTGGAGGTCCCCTTCGGACCTTCCCAAGGCTACCATGCCGTGCTACCACACAAGGTGGTAGGTTTGCTTATCATGTATCCTATTGTTGCTCATTGTGCCCGCCCGCCGCCGTGTGTTCAGCGCGTCGGAGGAACAGTGTGTGCGTCTGCGGTTTGTTAACGCAGCCCGTGTTCTTAGGTAATTGTCTTTTGTCCTATTCGTAGTCTTTGTCCCCAGTGCCCTCCTTGGCTAGAATTTGTCGATATACCATGTCTATCTTCATGCCCTGCCCGTGCAGCCTCTTCCTACTCTTCGCCAAGGCGGCGAGATCATGGCGGTGCCGCTGTACTCTTCGCTTCCACCGCTGCAGCAGCAGAAGATACGAGTCGGCCTGCGCCATCGGCTCCGACGTCCAAGATCGCAGCCGCACCACGGCAGGGAGAACACAACTCATGCCTTCATGAAGCTGGCTGGCTTGCACAGCGTCTTCGGTTCCAGCCGTGGATCATACATGGCATCGGAGGCCCCACCCACTCTTGAACGTGTTCGACTCCTTTGGGAACCATGTCTCGGCCCGTTGCCGCGCGCAGTGCGTGCCCGAGCAGGCGCCAACCATGCCGCGTGTTGATGTTTGATCGTCCCCAGGGTCAAGGGAGGAAAACCCACCCGGACCGGCCATTTGGTGTTTTTAAGCGGCCCTGGGCCTTTATTACACAGCCCTGCCTTGCTCGATGCCTTCTTTGCGCGCGTTTCCGAAGGGCCTCGCGTGTCGGGGTGGTTCTTCTCGGGGTGGATTTTCTGCCCTCCAGTACAATCGCCAACCACTCTGCGCGCTGATTCTTGATCGTCCCCAGGGGAGTGGCTGCAAGAAGACACCGCCCAAGCGTGCCCGCCTGCGCCCACGCGGCGGCCACGACGCCGCCCGCAAAGAGCAGCGCCGGGCGGGGCCTGGCGCCGTCGTCGTCGTCGTCGTCGTCGTCGTCGTCGTCGTCGTCGTCGTTCGTCGTCGTTCGTCGTCGTCGTCGTCGTCGTCGTCGTCGTCGTCGTGAGCCTTCCCCCCCGAGACGGGGTGGCACAGACTCGGCGGTGCACGCGGCCGCGCAGTCGGCCCCGAGCTCGGGGTGGCCCGAGGCCGGGGTGCCCCGCGGGCCCCCCCAGGTCTCAGCCTCGGCAGGCCGCCCCCGGGGCGCCTCGGGGAGCGCTCGGGGCCCCGGGGCGCAGCGGCACCGTCACGGGTAGTCACCAGCGGGTGCTTTGGAGAATTGCCGGAAGTTGCCATTTGAGGGCCTCTTTTTGGCATTGCAGCGTCGCCCACAGCGGGGAGGATTGGGGTCGCGGGGTCACCGGCCAAAGTACCCGTTAGTGGAGTCCCCGTTAGAGGGGCGCTGATTGGCAGGTAATTGCTTGGGTGTCCGAGGCCCATGCCAAGAGACACCCCTGCTCGCCTCCGGGGTGCCCCTGGGTGTTTTCCCTGGGCTTCGACGGCTTGGCCAGGGAGCACGTGGCGCTCACGCGCCAGGAATCAAAATGAGCGTCCCGGGGTGTCCAGGGTTGGGCTTCCCGTGGTGGGCTTCTTGTGGTCGGGCCCCTGCTGTGACGGGGCTCAGCTCAAACGGGGCTCCGCCAGAGCGCCGGATCGAGCAGGAGCACCCAGTGCCAGGTCTGGGCTGGGCCCGATGTTTGGGGGGGACCGCTCGCGGCCCTGGAGGTGGCTTGACATCTTGGTCGAGCCAGGCCGGGGAGGCCTCCCAACAAACTGCAGAGCTGTTTTTGTTAAATTGCCCCGCTCTCCGCGGAGCTCTTCCACGTCTGAGCGCCCTCCCCTTCTACCCTTCGCGCGGCCGCCCTTGCCTTCGCTTTTCTCTTTCTCTTTCTCTCTCTCTCTCTCTCTCTCTCTCTCTCTATATATATATATACATATATATATATATATATATATCTATCTTGCTTGCCAGACAGTTTGCTTACCGGTTGTCCAGAATAGCCCCACGCTGGTGCGGATTGCCACCGACGGAATAACGCTTGAATTGGCTGAGCCGGGTCTGCGGTGGGCTGGTTCAGTCCATGCCCGACAGGGAAACAGTGCACACCTCCTGCGAAGGAGCACATGGCTTGAACATCAGTTGGACTGGGCAGTTCTCATGTATCGACGGCGGGGGGGGCCTCGGAGTCGGCTGGTGAGTGGACCTCCCCAGTCAGGCGATCGCAAACATGGGTGGATTAGCGACGGGTCCCGTTTCCATGGGAGATCGCGGATGTCCGCCGCCGAACGAGGTGGCACCGGCCGCATTTTGGGAAGGGCACCTCCCCCGATCCATGGATTTAGCGACCGCGCGCCAAATCCATGGACCGCTAATCCATGTTTGCGCGCCCGCGACCCAGGCTCTCCTCGGCATCTTCTCCAGTCGTTTCCCCAGATCCCCCCCCCTTCTGGGTGGCCTCCCCCCCAGAGGTCCCCAAGCCTTCCACTCGCGCAGCGGAGACCTCTGCGCCCACTTGCCAGGTGGAGGAGGGAAGCCCACTACGCCTAAGTCGGGTGTGTCCCTCTACAGCAGGTTCAAAAATTGTTGAAGAAATAGTCTGGGGACTATGTTTACAACTATTGTTGAATATCTTTGAGGTTCTTTTCATTTTTCATCCACAATCCGCCTGTAGGGGGACCCGCCGGAGCTAACACTACGCTTAAGTGATAATCATGCGTTGAAGGATTGTGATTTGCTTATGTGAGTTGCAAACCTAGCCTGGACACCGAAGGCATGGCTCAAATGCAGGAGGCGCCCCATGTGTCATTCGTTTTTCCTTGCGCTAGCAGCTGTCATCAGCACCTGTCAGTTCAAGTCTGTTCGTGGCCTGTGCCATCTTCGTCTGCACTCCACTGGACATGTCCTTCGGGCCCCTCCGCTAGCTCCACGATTGCGGCGGGTCGGTGACTATACAGTGGGTGCTGTTAGGCTGGGATGTGGTTTGCGATCTGCGCCGGTGGGGCCAGGGGTGCACCGCGTTGTGCCAAAGTGAAGCAGTAGCGAAGCGTCCTGGCTCGCCTATAGCCCTAATCCAAAAGCCCTGATACAAACTTGAAATTTGAAATTTCATTTTTCCCTGCAACTCATCTAAGAGGAGTTGCAGAACATCCTGCAACTCCTCTAAGAGGAGTTGCAGGTTTTCTGCAACCCCTCTAAGAGGGGTTGCAGAATTATAGATTTAGCGAGAAACGGAAGAGAGAGAGAGAGAGAGAGAGATATAGAGAGAAGAGAGAGAGAAAGAAGGGAAAGAGAGAGAGAGAGAGAGAGAGAGAGCGAGAGAGAAAGAGAGAGACAGAGAGAGAGAGATAATTAAGGACATGGGGAAGAGAGCAAGAGAGAGAGAGAGAGAGAGAGAGAGAAAGAGAAAAAGAGAGAGAGAGAGATATAACAAACAAACAACAGAAAACAACGAATCAAAGCGGGATGCGAGGGATGGAGGATTAGGTGGAGAGGCGGAGGGAGGGAGAGGAGGAGGAGGAGGGAGGGAGGGAGGGAGGGAGGGAGGGAGAGGCGGAGGAGGAGGAGGAGGAGGAGGAGGAGGAGGAGGAGGAGGAGGAGGGAGGAGGAGGAGGAGGAGGAGGAGGAGGAGGAGGAGGGAGGGACAACAGAGGAGGGCCGTTTTCTCACCACGCAAGCGGACGCAGTACGTAATTAGGCGCGTCAGTGCAGCACCACGCCACTCAGGAAGTAGGCCGCCACTGCAGCCTGCCCAGCCGTCCTTCACTGGTCGCGGCCGCCGCGCCAGACCCAGCCGCTGGTCCAGTCGCCCGTGTTCCAATTTGCCTCCCGCGACCGCACGAGTGCCTCCATGCGGGATTATATTCTTTCCACGCGGGATTCCATTCTTTCCATGCGGGATTCCATGCGCGCCAAGATCGCAGCGATGTCGGGCATCTGGTTGGGGGCCGCCACTGCGGCCTGCGTCGGTGCTTGCACCGCGTAGCCGACAGGTCCGAGCATTCCCCCCGAGGACTGCGCCCCCTGCTCCTGGGCCATCTGCGGCAGTGGAGGGCCCCCCGCAGGCGGCCAGTCGCACCAGAACTGCTGGGCTGCGGGCTGCCAGGAGTTGCCTGGCGGCGGCCACTGCTCGCCCTGCCAGGGCGGAGGCGTTGCCTCGAGGCCAGTGCGCACCCTCAATGACCCATCGGCATTCGCCGACGAGGCCGCCACTGCGGCCAAGGTGCGCGCTTTCGCATCTTGGACAGCGGCTTTCGATAACGCCAGCAGATGCGTCTGGAAGTCCGCCGCGGAGGCCCGCGCTGGGGGGCGACCTCCGCCTGGAGCGAAACCGTGGTGGAACTGACCAAAGGACGCTGCTGGTTGCGCGCTGGGCTGCAGCTGGAGGTGGATCCCGCGGTGGTCTTGCTGCTGCTCCTGGGGCGGCTGTTCGGGCTGCTTCTGGAGCTGGTGCTGCGGGGGCTGCTCTTTGGAGAGCTGCCTCTCTGGTGGTGCTGCTCCTGGGGTTGTTGCTGGTGTTTCGTTTGAAACTGCGTGCGCGGGAGCTGCTCCTTGGGGGGCCAGCGGCGCCGCGCCCAGACATGGTGCTGGTGCGGGAGCTTCTTTGCGCAATGGCGGTGGCGGTAGTGTTGCTGCTCCTGTGGTTGCTGCTGGGGCTGCTGCTGCGGGAGCGGCTGCCGCGGGAGCTGCTGCCGCGGGAGCCGCTGCTTGTGGAGGTGTTGCTTGTGGAGCTTCTGCTGCGGGAGCTGCTGCCGCGGGAGCTTCCTCGCTGTCCGTTTCGGATGGGCCCCTGAAGCCGCCACTGCAGCTCTGCACTCCCCGTGAGTTGGCCCTCCACCTGCGCTTCTCCCAGCGCTTCCCCCAGGATCTGGCCGACCTCGCGTTCCGTGCGTTGCGGGTTCGCACATCCGCCCCCTCCACGCAGAAACGCAGAGGCATGTGCGACCCTGGCCTGTTGGCCCCAGTGACGCCTTTCCACACCTCAACGTCCATTGCCTTTTGCCGCACTGTAATCAGGCAAGTGCCTTGCTGTGTCCTGGTGCGTCGTTCCGTCTGCACGATGCCTCCACGGTTCAGTTCAGCGAGGCTTTCGTCCGATGGCTGGAGAATTTCTTGAATCTTGACGCGGTTATGTTCCTGGCCGCCACTGCAGCCTGCGCTCCTCGGCGTGTAACTGTGTAAACGCCAGCCCGGAGCCTCTCCACCAGGGAGGCCTCTGTGGCCTTTTGCCCTGAAGCTGTCGCACCCTTCGGGGAAACCCTTCTCCAGGATGCCGCCGTAGCTCTCGTGCAGGGCGCCCAGGGGGTGCAGCAGGGAGTAATTGCCAGGGCAGTCCACAAAGAACGCCGCGCAGCTGTCCGCAGCAGGCACGGCACCAGGGATCAGCTTGAACGTGTACTAGGCC